TGGCACTCTACCCAGGGGGATAGCTTGAGGCTCTGTCTCAAAAAAAAAAAAAAGTAAGTCATTTTGCTATAATATGATCTGTAACAGCACCCAACTGTTTCATCTAGCCCACAAGGGACAAAACACTGACCAAGTCCAATCCAAGAGGAAAAATCAACTATAGTGTTTTCAAAGCTGGTGAACTGGTTTCCAATGTGGCATCTTTCTAAGTCACTTCCAGAAATAACATGGAAACCGGGGTGGTAATAAAGAATTTTAGAAAGTCTCTGTCAATAGAGACTGCTCCTGTCACAACGGGACTGAGGAGGTCATTTAACAGGAGGGAAAGGAGCCGGCTTGGCTTTCCGTTTACCGTTTGAGTTCTCTGTAATTAAGATTTCAGTATTACTTAGGCTGGGGGAGAAAGCAGCTTCCCTTCTACTCTGAATTTATAGTAATAGCACAGTGAAGCAGATTCAAACGTCATACCTGTGACAGTCATCAGAAGAGCATTCACGGACTTATCATCTGGAGAACCTGTCAAAGCAAACACAGACATGCACAGTGTCTTGAAAAGCAGATGCCATGTGCCTCAACTGAACAGTACACAAAGATCTAAACCCTGCCCCTCACAGATCACTCTCAGAGGCAACAGACAGACACAACACTTTCACTGCCTCTTCCAACTTTTACTTGTGTTGTCTGTTTCTTGCTGCTGTTCAAGGTAATGAGACTTCTAAAAGCTACAGAAAAACTCTACTCCTATCTTGCAACATCCTAAGGGGCATATACGAAACCTACTGATTACCATCTTTCTGCTTTTAAAAAGGGGAGAAAACTGTCCTCCTTTTATTGTTTTATTGGCTCTAATGCTGTCCCCCGGAGCCTCCCCTCAAACAAAGCATATACACTCCCAAGCAAGCTTTTAAACAAATCAACAAAGCAGAAGAAATGCCAGTTTCCCCCCTACACAAATAAAAGGATGTGATGACAGTTCTCCCAGGCATTCACAGGACAACACAAAGATAGCTGGTCCTGAGGCTTTCCCCCTGGCACCTATTCCTAAGAGATTAGGGAGAAAATATAACTGTATAGAAATACTCACGACTATACCCGATGAGGGACCCAATTGCTAGAAGCAGACTTAGCGCTAAAACCGGTGCTCTCTTCTGTAGTATGTCAGAGATGAAGCCTAGCAAAGTTCCACCTTCAAGCACAAAGAGCATACCACTGTCAAAATCATTTCTAATTAGCTCAGTGACCTGAGACACGCTCCCCAGTGGTACCCTCTGGTCTTGCTACCAGGACTTAACACTTGGTCTATCAGAAAAGTTGGCTGACTTTCCAAAATATTTTCTTCTTTAAAACTATTAAATTGCAGGCTCGGCGCCTGTGGCTCAAGCGGCTAAGGTACCAGCCATATACACCTAAGGTGGCGAGTTCGAATCCCCAGCCCAGGCCCGCCAAACAACAATGATGGCTGCAACCAAAAAATGGTCAGACATTGTGGCAGGTGCCTGTGGTCCCAGCTACTTGGGAGGCTGAGGCAGGAGACTCAGTTGAGCCCAGGAGTTGGAGGTTGTTGTGAGCTGTGATGCCATGGCACTCTACCCAGGGGGATAGCTTGAGGCTCCATCTCAAAAAAAAAAAGAACTATTAAATTGCCATGATGGCCAATGGGGACAGGCTACCACAAATAGGAAAAGTCATCAAAATCACCCACTATCCCATGCAAAACAAGCTGTGGATGCTATTCCTGACTTCTTTGCTTTTTAATTTAAAAGATGATTAAGGCTCGGCGCCTGAGGCTCAAGTGGCTAAGGTGCCAGCCACATACACCTAAGATGGCGGGTTCGAATCCAGCCCCAGCCCACCAAACAACGATGGCTGCAACCAAAAAAAAAAAAAAAATAGCCAGGCATTGTGGCAGGCGCCTGTGGTCCCAGCAACTTGGGAAGTGGAGGAAGGAGACTCGCTTGAGCCCAGGAGTTGGAGGTTACTGTGAGCTATGCCATGGCACTCTACCCAGGGGGACAGCTTGAGGCTCTGTCTCAAAAAAAAAACAAAAGATGATTAAAACCGTGCCTCACAGGCTATTAAGAGCAGCCAATAAATATTCACTAAAATTAAATACAGCAATTATGGTTTCATAATGACTAATAGGTCAGGATATTTAAAAAGAGGTGATATGAATCCTTCAAGCAACACTGCCACATTTAGATAAGTTCCACTCTGAGTTCTACGAGCGACAAGACATCTGATACATCCATTTCAGGCAGTAACACTTAGGCAATTTTAACTTCAGAGGACACAGAAGTATGGTCAGGTCTAAAGATGGCCACCTCACCTTTGGCTCTAGATCTAAGAATATGGACAGCAAGTTCAAATACAATAACAGTATATCTCCTAAGGATGTACGTGTGGTTTTGTGTGCTCAGAGCAGTTGAGCTGTCCCATAGTTCTAAATATAAACATTGAGAACCAGCACAGTGGCTCATGCCTGTAATCCTAGCACTCTGGGAGGCCCAGGTGGGTGGACTGCTTGAGGTCAGGAGTTCAAGACCAGCCTGAACAAGAGCAAGACCTAATCTCTAAAAAAAAACTAGCCAGTGATAGACAGCGGCTGTGGCTCAGTGAGTAGGGCTCCAGCCCATATACCGAAGGTGGCAGGTTCAAACCCAGCCCCGGCAAAACTACAACAAAAAAAATAGCCGAGCATTGTGGTAGGCACCTGTAGTCCCAGCTACTTGGGAGGCTGAAGCAAAAAGATCACTTGAGCCCATGAGTTTCAGGTTGCTGTAAGCCATGATGTCACGGCACTCTACCAAGGGTGACAAAGTAAGACTCTGTTTCAAAAAACAAAAAGTAAACATTATAGAAAGGATTTTAAGGTTTTACTAGAGGCATATGAGTAGCCTCCACTAAAATGTATTATCTTATTTAAGTGTCTTACTTCCTTGCCCCTATTCCTGGCTACAGCAAAAAGTCACTCCTAAAATCTGTTTACAGTGAAGCAATTCCAAAACATAAAAATTAATCCCTGCTGTTACTTCTACTTCTATGATCTGACAATCTATAACTAAGGTATGACAATGGTTCCCCCATCAGTGGGAGACATGTTCCCAGGCCCCTCAGTGAATGCCTGAAACCATGGATAATACCAAACCCTATTTTTTTTGTTATACATACATACCCATAATACAGTTTAATTGAAAAATTAAGCATAGCAATAAATTAAAAAATAAAAAAATATAATGATATGCTAAAATAAAAGTTATGTGAATGGTTTCTCTCTCTCTGTCAAAATATCTACTGCACTGTATGCTGAGTAATGAAACTTTGGAAAGCACAATGATAGATAAGAGGGGACTACTATATTCTCCCTGTGGCCAGGGGTGGTGGGCAAGGTGGGAGGTAGAGAAAATGAACATTTCACATTTTAACTTGGATCTCTGACATATATTAGCTTTAGAACTAGGATATTAGTGAAAAGGTATAAAAGGGTTCTATTATAAGAGATATTCGTGTGTTTTCCAAGACAAAAGAACTGATCCATCAACAGAGAACTAAGAAATGAGAGCTGTATAAACCATAGCCCTGCCTTGGGTTGGGGCTTCCTTTCTATGGACTTCTGCTTTTGTTGTTTTTAAAAGTTTGGCTGTTTACTAGCAGGATAGTTTAGGAAAAATGGCTGTGAAATAAGTAATAAACCTTTAAACGAAGCCAGATTTCATAATTCAATAAAAAATGACTAGTGACTCACTCTTATGGAAAAAGATTCATCACTGGCATACCTATGATTCCCCCAACGTCGTACCAAATGGACAGCTTGTCGGCTTCAGCCTCCTTCCATCTAAAGTTGTTACTCAGATAAAACGGCAACCAGAAGAAGAAGGAGTAATTGACTAGCTTCAAGCAGGCGTAGGCCAGTGAATACTACAAGAGAAACATCTAATTATCGGTAAGAGACAAAGAGTACAGGACAACCACAATTTTTAATGTAATTAAAAAGCAAAATGAAATAAAGCAGCTTGAGATGAATGGTACCTGATTTTACAATTAAACATCTCTACAAATTCCCACATATTATGACTTCACTTAATCTCTCCTGCTCCTCATCCCCGTTAGCTCTAGATACCATCCCCAACTGTTAGCTTTCAGACAGGCATGGGCAACAGGCCTTTGAAATAAAAAACACAGATGACTATTTCTTAATTGTCCCTAGTTTCTTCTCCTATCAGTTCTCTGGTAGAAGCAAACCAGTGTTTTGAAGGCAGGTCACATACCCATATTTCTTTATTCACACAAAATAGGGGGTCTGCATGCTGCTAACCAGCATTAACCATAGACAAGTAAGTCCAGGAAACACCACAGCCTTTTTACTGCAAGCAGCCAATTGTTTGGTTATTCCACTTCCTGCAAAGTTAGCAGTGTAAACGACAGAGGGCAAGGGGACTACGGTGTATTTTCAAGATCTAAAAAAAGCATCGACATTAAAACTACTTTCACTTCAGAACTTTCAAAAGCCCTATTTTGCCCCATCCAGTGGAAAAGACAAGTATATCTCTTGTGAGTCAAAAACAAAAGAGCAGACAGGTGCTCACGACTGTAATCCTAGCACTCTAGGAGGGCGAGGCGCGTAGATAACTTGAGTTCACGGATTCAAGACCAGGCTCAGCAAGATGGAGATCCCCTCTCTAAAAAAATAGCTGGGCGCTGTGGTGGGTGCCTGTAGTCCCAGCTACTTGGGAGGCTGAGGCAGGAGGATCACTTGAGCCCAGGAGTTTGAGGTTGCTGTGAGCTGTAATGCCTCGACACTCTGCCCAGGGGGACAGCTTGAGGCTCTGTCTCAAAAAAAAAAAAGAAAAAAAGAAAAAAAAAAAAGTCATAAAGAAAGCAGTTCAGGA